GGGCGGCGGGGAGGGGCCCCCCCCCTAAAGCGGCGGGGAGGGGGGGGGGCCGCCATAATAGCTGGGCCAACCAGGAATCTCAAAGCCATGGAGAAAGCTGCCACCTTGTTTCCACATGCTATAATCCTCGGCTGCAATGCCATGAACAGACCTGCATGTTCTCCCCCGGTTTCAGTTAATATTTCATTACATTCATATTTTTACTAATTTACAAATATATATATATGAATAACAATAATAATAATGAGGAAAGAAGCAGATTCAGACCGAGGCTGAACATTGCCATTCCCAGACCAGCATCCGACAATATGGAAATTGATTTGGAAACAATGGCAGGCATCTTAATATTCCATCTGCAAATACCCATTATGTAATTGTTAATTATATGTAAATAATACTACATATACTTAAGAAATTTTAAAGATAAAAACTTTCGGGAAATGAATAAAATATACCGGTAGGAGATTAATGCCCAAACCACACCAATAAGGCTGGAATATGTATTCGGGTTTCGAATTAGCTTTCTCCAAACCATTATCAGTATTAGTCTTGTCATCACACTCGTCGGCGGCATCGCCGCCGCCGCCGCCGCACTGCCTTTCACAACTTCCTCCGGCATCTTCTCTTCATCACCAGCGCCGGGCACACCTTCTCCCTCCCTCATTACTCCTCTGTTCCCAAAGCTGAAGTCCTCCCTTCCCAAAAACTCCTCTTTCCTACCTTCCCCTGTAATAAAAATTCAACTTTTAGCAATCAGTTTAACTAAAACGGATCAATTGTCTGATTTTCAAACCTTTGGTCGGAGAAACAGTCAATCTAACTTCCTTGGCCCCATTCGCCTCCCCCGCTGCCGGAAAGCCATAATCTTGATTATTTCCATACACATCCGATACCGGAGAAGCGGTTGAGCTCCACACAAACATGTGTAAATCCTTCCCCACGCCGCCGCCGCCGGCCTCCTCCGCCTTCACCATCTTCCTCCCCAAAACGCTCGGATTCGGCGCAGGGTAATGCAACCTCGTCTTACTTCCCACAGCAGGAACGCTATTCTCTTCCTCAAAATTAGACGGCCGAGGTGTATTTGCCCCACCGCGCAACCCATAAACATCGCCGGAGCCAAAATTAGAGCTCCGGCCAACCATAGAGTAGAAATCCGTGTGATTAAAACTCGATCCCCGAGGCGTAGGATTCCTCGAAGATTGCAACGAGTAGATCTCCGCATTCGTCAAATTCGACGGCCGCGGCGTCGCCACCGCGCCGGCGAACCCCTGTCCCGACCGGCGTGAATAAACATCCGATCTGGAAGCATTAGAACGCCTCACCGTCACGTGCATCTTCCCACCCTCCTTCACCTCCGCCTCCGTCTCAATCGCCTCCCGGCGACCGTCAAGCGAAAGCACATCCGAATCGACGGTGATCGAAACAATGGAAGCCGCGGTGGTGGGGAATTGCTCTGCAATGAGCAACCTTGCAGCGCGATACTCGAACATGAAGAGCATCAGAGTATACCAAATTATGCACTGCAAGACGACGATTTGAACCATGAGACTGCCGGAGAAGTCGCCGTACATGCCTTTGAGGAGAGGGATGCCCATGACGAGGGTGTTGGGGAGGGTGGAGAGGGAGAAAAAGGTGATGGACCAGTCGAGGGAAGAGGAGCGGCGGGAGAGAGTAGGCCAGAGGGCGAGGGAGGCGAGGACGAGGAGTTTTTGAAGGGAGTCGGCGGCGAGGAAGCGGAGGTTCATGGAGAAGGGGTTGTTGGTGGAGATGAAATGAAAGGATAGAAGAGGGACGGCGAAGAGGGCGACGAAGCGGTTGATGCCGGAGCATTGATCAGGGGTGAAGATGCGCCAGTGTTTGACAGAGGAGTAGGCGAGGAGCATGGCGACGTATAGGGGGACAACGGCGGTCATGACATGGTAAAAGTCCTGAAAGCTTATCATTTTAAGATTAATGGCGATCAGAATGACTCTGATAGATAAGTAGAAGGGGGGAGGAGGAAGAAGGGTTTATGGGATCGAGGAGCATGTGTTGGGATTTTGTCTTAAGAGGAGGGGGATGGATAGATGGATGGATTTGGGAGGAGAGGGAATGAGGGAGAGAGAAAGGGATGGAAGAGTTTGTTTAATGGAACCTTTGGCTGCTATGTCTGAGATCGCTTTGGAGTATCCTTTGTAGCTATCACAGGGGCATACTTCTCTGCCGCGCGCCCGGCTAATAAATAGGGATGCTGTTGTCGAATTAGAACAGATGAAATAATTGGTCTTTTTTTTATCAATTTCTTTTTTTTTTTTTTTTTTTTTTTTTTTTTTTTTTTTTAGTTTGCGCCCGTGAATTTTGTTCTAAGTCTGGATGCATCAATCCAAAATTAAATTAATTTCTGGCCAGATCCAAGGACTGAGTTCCTAGCAATGTTTCTAATATGATTCCCATCGAATTTTAATTAATATGAATTAAATTAATTAGTATCTTGTATGAATGTATGTATGCACATATGCATATATATATATATATCGGTTATTCCTGATGCGCCAAACAGTTGGAGTGCCACACCCTCCATCGGAACCCCATACCAGAGGGAACTTACAACTGACAAGCAGATGATCAACCAACTGATCTGAGTACGCACGTAGAGAGAGAGAGAGAGAGAAAGGGGTACATATAATGTGTTTTAAAATACTAATAATTAATCAAGATCTGTTTTTTTTTTTCTTGGAATCAATGAAGAGCATAGTTAGAAGCCATGAAAAGTTAAATCAAGATTAAAACAAACCAATTTATGATTGGATATGGGTGGATGCAAGATTAGATTGAATGACATCGAGTCATGACGACTATGATTTAATTTTATTCTTTAATAAAATTATAGTATCTTTTATTTTATTTTATAAACACATCATCGAATTCTTATGTATTACGCTTAACGCTTGGATGTTAGAAGTTTTAAACTTGTGCATGAAAAGATGTATTTCACTTCTACAGAATAATAATAATGTTGCTTTTAATATGATATTAAATGTTTGAGTGTTATTAAGTGTAAGATACGTAAATACATAAGAATTGTGTGATGTGCATGTAATTGTCCCAATAAAAAATGATCAAGTGCAAATTTTATATTTTATGAATTTAATTTATTTAATATCTTAAAGTAATATTTTATTAGAGTTGATGTTCATGATAGCTAATAGGCATTTATCTTGGATAAGGGTTTTAGTCTATGATATAGAACATAAAATACTTAGGCTATAATTTGTTTGTTTATTTTTCTCATGCTTCTATTCTATTTTTAAAATATTCTATAAGTCTTATATTGTTGTATTTAAAAACAATAATAAGGGAAATTTACATACATATTGCATAATTTGTATGTATTTACATATCTAATATCAAAAATTTAACATTTACACTTACGACATATTTGTACCATATGCATATGTTTGAAAATGCACATTTAACTCTAAAATAATACTAATAATAGTTGTATTTTTATGTGACATTAAACATTTGTGTGTGTGCATATAAATTAGAGTTGAAAATGGACCAATGCACTTGATGAACAACTCAAGCTCAGCTCAGCTCAGCACTATTAATATTAGATCTTGTTCATTAAAATTAGTAAATAAACAGATTTGAACATTTTTTTAAAGACTTGAAACTTAAATGAACCAAATTTGAGTAAAGCTCAGCTCACTTGTTCTTGTTTTCGATTATTGTTCAACAAGTAACTTGTAAAATACTTTATGCTTATATGATTTAAAAAATCTTTGATTAATTAGAACTTATTTAACAATATAGTTAATAGTAACTTAATATAATTTAATATAATATATGCAAATTTAATGCATTTTTTTTTAAAAAATGAATTAGGTTTTTAGTACTTATTTATATTATTTGATTGCAAAAAACTAACAACTTATATATTATATTTGTTATTTGGTATTAATTAGTTAGATGCTAGTTTGAAATATATTTAGTTGATTATTTATTTAGATTTTAAAGATCTTTTCTAATAACTTTATATAAAAAAAATCCAATATTCAATTAAATTTTTAACCTGTTTGGTGGTTTTATATGAATTATATATAAATCAAATGTTTATTCTCTTATGAAAATTTAAGTACTCATTCGAATTTTTAACTTTTTAATTAATATAAATAATTCACGTACAAATCAAATATAAACACTAAAATTTTTAAGTAATAGGAGTATAAATGTAGTTTTGAAGTCCAATATCAACGTCTTATGATTCAACCAAGCTAAGTTCAAACCATAGCTTACTTGACTCGGTTCGGCTCGATTGCAGCCGTAATATAAATATGAATATTTAGGTGTTAGATATGTAAATAGGTAATAATTATGTGTTATGTTTGCAAATACCCCCAAAATGATAATAATAGTAATAATAGAGGTGGGACTGCACTAGTGTAAGTTGGTGTGGGCTGTCTGAGTTTGTAGAAATGAGGCCCAAGATTAAAGAGGTAGGACAGTTCTATATATATATATATATATATATATATATATATATATGTCATAATAGATTCAAAATATACCCATGAACATATATATATATATATATATATATATATATATATATATATATGTCATAATAGCTTCATAATATACCCATGAAATATTGTATTTCACCTTAAAGATAGTTAAATAAGTGATATTTTTTATTATGATGTGCAAGTGCTGAGTTCCTAGCCCCAAGTACCAAGTTTTGAGTGTTGAATATAAAGTGTCAAGTTTTGAGTATTATTATTTTTCTAATGTTGAACACCACATGTCGAGTTTCAATTGTCGACTATCATATGCTCACACGTCATTGTTCAAGTCTTGAGTTCTATTTATGTTATGGACCTCCCATCATGTATTTTATTGCTTATAATTAATCATTTGCTATAGTGCTCAATGCCCAATAATTTCCTATAAATATGGGATTATGAGGAGAGTTTAGGGGAATTTTTTAGAGGCTACTTAGTTGGAAGAATTTGAAGTGTATTGTGATTCTTTTACAGGAATTTCATAAATTCAAATGTTTGGTCTGAAGAATTATAAATACAATCTAAAATGTGCATGAATTTAAAATTTACACTTAGTTTATTTTGGTCAAATTTAAAACTTTTCCAATTTGTTCAAATTTGAGATTTACATTGTTCATTAATGTCAAATATATATTGGCCACGCGGCTTGCCAAAGGACGATGCCGCCGATCCGTAGGCGTCGTCGCTTGTCAGTCAGGCCCCTCCTGTGGCCGCCTACATGCTGGCCACCACCAGATGTTGGGAGAAAATATTGTACATGCCATATAGCTATATCATACTCATGACAAAAACTAAATCTTTCTCAGCACACACCATAAAATAAATGAGACCATCAACTACACTAGCATATGAAATTGTATTCATATACCTCTAATCTTTCAAGGTTGATGTTGATTATATAATTAAAAGAGTGTAGTGAGAATCCAGAGGAGAGAAAATAGATTGAACAATATATGTTCTAAATTTCCTTATAATTTTCCAAATATATATTTTTATAAGATAGTTGTAAAAGGCTTTTAATACTACCCTTTCTATATCCCAAATATTAGTTTGGCTCTTAATTTTTTTTTTGTTTAATAATGTTTTTAATTTAATTATCTCTTTTGTGATATCACTATCTATAAGCATATTATCAGCATATAGAAGTAGACAAATAATAATATTCTTGAAAAATATTTTAAATTATATACATGTTATAATCATTAATCACTTTAACTCTATGAATTCTCAGTTATACATACTATTATCGTTGAGATTGCTTTAATATATATATATATATTAGGATTTATGGAGAAGACAAATCTTCTTAATCATTTGGTGTATCCCTATGTCCTGCTCATAAGAAAATCTCTCAAGTACTTCATGTAAGAAAGTCATTCTACATCTATATATTCTACTTTTGATGATAATCAATTACTAGAGATAAAATTCCTTTTATTCAAGGTGTGTTTAACAAAAATCAAGAAAATATCATTAAAATCTACAAATATTTTCTTAGTGTAGCCCTTTGCCACCAATCAACCCATGTATCTAGCCTTCTCAATACTTATAATAATATATTTTCATGTGCATATTCATTCATTGCCCATAAGTATTTTTTAAAATTGATTTTTCATGCATTTAAGTGTACAATTTTTTTCTTAAGTATTCCATGTTTTATTCGGTGCTTATTTCTAAAAATTTACTTAATCTATATTCATTAATTTGTTATGTGATCTCGGCTCATCCTCTAGTGTTTATTTAATCGAAAACATAAACATGTTTTTTTTTTCTTACAATAAGATCTTATTAAGTTAAATTAAGAAATTAGTCATTTAGGTGCATTAATATTCTTTTTTTCTTATCTCTCACAATCTTCTAACTTCTAAAATCAAATCTTATTAGCTTTTTTATGTTCATGAATAACTTTACTTAGGTATTAAGTTCAATTACAAATAATATGTATAACTACTCCATTTACAATTTCATTACATCTTAAGTATTGATCATTGTGCCCGAATTCTTTTATGTAATTTATGTAATCAATATATTATATCCATTAAAGGTAATAATTATGTTAGTTATTCAATTGGATCCTTGTTTATCTCACTCAATATATGTCTTTTTACTCCCTTCTCCTAAGTAAAAAAATCATTTAGGATATTAACTATTATTTTTCTTGATTCATATGAATATAAATTAGATATCCAAAAGTTCTGAGACTATTGTAGAGAAAACATGAAATAATTCATTAAATAATAAATTAAGGGGTCACTTGTCAAGATTTAAATGTCTTATTTGTTCTAAAGTTGGGGCCTACATAGAGAATTATAATAGAGTAATTAATGGGACTATAAACCTATGATATTAGGGCAAACTATGAATAGTTGAGGCAATGCTAATTTCTTTTTTCCTTATTCCTTTCAAAAAAAAATGTCGATTTTTGTATGGATAATTTTTAAGGGTTGGTAAGGTATGGCATTCACTTTGTATGTGAATTTATCATATTTTAAACTATTATAAAATTAGAAGGCATTTTTATTAAGCTCATTGGGACCCAACATCATGTCACAGTAGAGATTTTAGTTATTGAAAAATAACATGAAATCTTAATAGACCATATCGTGTGCTACTAAAGCTATAATTTGATTTAAAACAATGAAAAAAGAAATATAC